CGCAAATGCGGAGTCCACCTCCAGGTTTGCGGACGACGAGCACAGGCGAAGCGAAGTCTGACTTGCTTTCACGGATCTCACCGCGTCCTCTCATGTCCTCAACATAAGCTTTAACGGCAAGGCCTTCGTCCTTACTTATGCCGTACATCTTAGCGTTTGGGTGTTTTGATCCGGGGATAATGTCAATGCTGTGGTCGACCGCGCCTCGTCGAGCGGGCAAGTCTGTCGTGGCGGGATCAGGATTAAATCGGTGGGCGAGATCGTGGAGCCATTCGGGCAACTTGTCTAGGACCTCGTCGCGAGTTTTAGCGGGCGAGTTGAGCTTCTGGTGGAACTTATCAATGTCTTCCTGAGATAGGGCGTTCATGTCCATGGCAAATAGTGAGGCGAAGACGCGGCTAGCCTGGGCTCTCTCGTCGGCGTCATCGCTGTCATCTTTGTCGAGTTGTTCAAAATCATGTGGGTACAGCCAGATAGTACCGTTCTCTGGTCGTGATGCCAGTGCGGCAGCGGCCTCACCTGACACATGGTGTATGTCCATGTTCGCGTAGGTCGGGTTCCGTTCTTTGGCTTTTGCTGCGGCCCGTCGGTGTCGACTGCTGCGAACAGTGACTTGCTCGCCTTTGTGTAGGCAGTTGGCGTAGCAATGCTCGCTGTTGAAACGCATAGTTTTTTCCCTCTAGTCGATGTGTGGATTATGCTCTTCTAGCCATGAAGTGCCGAAAATAAAGTCGTAAGTCGTCATAGGTACACTGTAGAAGAGTTCCTCGCTAACGTGTTCAGCGTGGGAGATGGGGGCTAGGACGCCGTGTGTGATAGGCGCCATGGCGAAATTGCCGTCGCCAAGTCGTAGTTGCAAAGGTTGTTTAAGCCGAAACGTCGGCAGGTTATGTCGTTGCGCAAATAGTGTGGAGATACAGTTTCCAGTAGCACCAGAGTCAGTCAAAGCTTCCGTATCAATGTGGCTATTCGAAGTGGCGACCTTGCACTTGAAAACGAACTGCTGGCCTTGGACAAGCTGCTTGCCTTTGACCATAGTGTTCGCGCTCAAGACAACGTGTCTGTCCTCTATAGCCTGGGGAGGCGTCCAGTCCTCCAATTCTTGTAAACAAACGCGTAAAGTGCTAGGTGTAGCTCCGGTGAGCGGGGTAGTTTGGGTATCAAGGGTCGGTGAAACAATAGGGGGTATCGCTAACAAGGGTTGGACTGGTAGTTGTGGCTTTAACTGTGACTGTAACTGTATCTGTGGACCATTTTGGTGCGGTCCCCGGGGGCGTCTTTCGCCGGGGACGGCTAGTTTTCCGACTCGTCGGTGGCATCGACGACTGTGGCCTGGAGGGCGGCGTTGGTGAATGTAGCTTTGAGGGCAGGGACGCGGCTAGCTGGCACGATAGAGCCAGACTTGCAGGCTGCTGGGACGTCTGCGTCGGTCGGACGATGTTTCTTGCCGCTGACATTTGCCGTGCCTCCGCATTTAAAGCACTCGCCTTGCTTACTCAACGCGTTGAGTTGCGCGCGCGTGCGACCGTAGTTGTTACGCGTTGTGGAGCCGCTGCTATTGCTGTTGCCGTTGCCATTACCTCCACCACCAGCGTTAGACGTGTTGCGGCCGGTTCGGGTACCATTATTTCCGCTGCTCTGGGTGAGACGTGAGAGCTGTTGCTGAGTGCGGCAATTCTGGGCAAACGCTTCCCAAGTATCACCATGGCGGAATTGTAAACCTGCGTTACGACCAAACTTCATGAGTCGGATCGCGTGCTGGATCATTTCGTTGTCGCCCAGGTTCAATGGTGCGACTGTAGAGGTAAAGCGGGCTACCCAGGTGTTAAACGATTCATTGTCGCGTTGCTTTAATCCTCTAGAGCCGCTGTCGTGTAGCGCTGCGCTGGCTTCGGTGACCTTGTCGACCGTGTCAAAGATGCGATCAAGTTCCGTGAAGACTTCTTCCGCTGTCACGTAGGCGTTACGAGCTCCGGGGGCTGCTCTATATTCCACCTGTGCAGCGGCTGGTCCTCGCAAGTGGTCAATCAGGTAGTCGAGCTGATCTTGAACAGTTGTGTGGATAGTAGTTTTGTTTAAGAAGTTCCTGGCGCTGCGGCGCCAATACTTGTAGTCCTCTTTGTCGGTGCTGTCTCCGCGAAAGATGTCAATATCCTTCAGCTTTGCACCCGTTGCAGTGAGGTTGTCCGATACAGCAGACCGAGCTAGGGGTCGGTTTTTCTGATGATGTGCCATAGGGGGAGGCAGCATCAAGTCGTGAGTGCCAATGCCAATGAACGGGTTCGCAGTCATTGGAGGAGGGGACGACTGGAACTGAGCTGGGCGCGTGTCATATAAATTTCCATTCGTCGGGACGCCCGCGTGCTGTTGCAGGACACTCCTCTCGTTGTAGAGGTCGCTAATCTGGGAGTAGAGCTTCACGTTTGACTCGCGCGAGGCTGCAAGCTCGTCTTCGAGCACTGCTAGCCGTGAAGCGTAGCTGTTCTTAGTAGTGATCATGCGGTTGCATTTCTGGGTGACTTGGGCAAGCTCGTCTGCGGCGGCAGCGCGAGCTTGCGTCTGGGCGCGCTCCACGCGGGCGTCAGCTGCTTCTTGTTGTACACGGGCTTCATTGTGTGCTTGGTCTAGCTGTTCGGCTTGTTCAGCTATCTGACTAAGCAAATCTGCTAGGTGTCCAAAGACACTCTCAGCATGTTCAGCGATGCAAGCGGTGAAGTCGTCAACGTTCCTCATGTCCGCGAGGATCTCGCGCTCATCGTTGTCGTGGATGCCATAAAAACGTAGATACATGTCATCCGTGTCGTCGTCGTAGCCTAGTTCTATAGAAGTCTTATCCACTGGCTTAACGGCTTTCTTAAGAGACTGTCTACAAGACTGTCGTCGGCGTTCAGCGGCGTTGACGTCATTGCCCTCGTCCTCGCTGTTGCCTTGGCCGTCTCCACGGCCAAAAGTGACCTGTCTCTTGCGGGTGGCGAGCTTCTGTCTAATAGTCGCCTTCTCCGCTTCGGTGAGGTCGTCGTCACTCTCAAAGTCGCCGTACTCAAGGTGCGACTCTGCTGGAATGGTTTGTGTGTCGTTCTGAGCACCCTGGTCGTGGGCATCCTTGCTCGTCTCGTTTAGTCGGGCCATCATCGGCGGCAGCGCTAGAAGCGGCGGCGGATCTTTTCTGGCAGGTGGGTACAGCTATGCAGCTGGGCAATCCAGTGTCTTCCGCGGCGGCACTCTGCGGCGGCGGGTCTTTTCTGGCAGGTGGGTACAGCTATGCAGCTGGGCAATCAGGTGTCTTTACTACGGCGGCTCTTCTGCGGCGGTACGTATAGTCAATGCGATCCTCGTCGCGTAAGTGTTTCTGTCGTTGGCGTGTCGCTCGCAGCGACAAGAAAATACAATTCGCGAACGAGCTTCCAGGGCCCGTCTTGAAAGGGAGCTTGTATAATGTGAGGGATCGATCAAGAAAGATTGGATTTGACAAGATACAAGCTATCGAGTTATCTACGTTGTGAGCCCGAACTTATGCTGTGGGCGCCAAGGCGCTAGTCCGATAAGATAAGGATCTTATCGATATGGGGGCCATGGGCCGAGCGAGTCTATGTGTCAGATTTTTATGGATGGTATCAAGTGTATTGTCTGTCTCTGTCTACGGCTCTGTCTGTGGGAGGTGGCCTCGCCTCGGGCTTGGCAGTGCTAAGTCCCGGCGCTAGCCCTGGTTTGGGGGTCTCATGTCCTTCCCCAACCACCATCGGCTCGATCATGGAGCAAAACCTCGCCTCAATCTGACACTATGGATCCGTAACACAAGGTTTAGATGCTAGGAGACAACTAGGGGGCTATCGCACTTACAAAGAACCCTTATCTCTATAAAAGATTAAAGCATATCGATGTCTGCTATTACTTTGTCTAGGACCTGGCAGAGTAAGGTAAACTTGATGTGGCCTATGTGCTAACTACAGAGATAGTTGTAGATAGAATAATAAAGCCTTTACAGCGAGTTGCATTTAAGAGATTTAAGAACTAACTAGGTGTTGTCTATGGACCGGACCTGTCCTAAGGGGGAGTGTTGAGAATATCTGGGTTCAGTCCAGGGTAGAAGGTGATTGAGAGTTACGTGATGTTGTCAGATATAATGAGATATTGCACAAAAGTGATGGATGTTGATGATTGTCTGTATTGTGTTCTGTCTATCGTGTGTCCGCGCTTGTGGCCCTCTTGAGGGGCGCACTGACCCTCTCTACGCTGATTGGTTGCTGCCAACGTCGAGTAACCCTGCTATCTGACAGATGTGCTGGTGTGGTAGGTACTGCCCGGTGGGCAACAGCACCCACCACAAGAAGCAGAAGTCCGGGAGACACTCGACACGATAGTCTATACAATACGTTGTAGCCACCCCGCCTTGTCCCTCATCCCACTCGGTTATCCATGGTAGTCATACTACTAGAGGGACCTTGTTCCAATATATACAACTTTAAAACACCAATCAAACAATCAAATACGGCGCGACTGCCAAGCCTTCATCAAACAACCAAATACAGCAGGCGATATTTGATTGATTTGTTTGTTGCAGAGTCTGAATCTTACCCACCCAAACTGACTGGAGGTCCCCTGAGCTACTCCTGAAGATGAGGCTTGGCGGCAATGCCGTCCCATCGGCACAAATACAGATTATAGTGCTTATTGTCGAGACGCGGTGAGAGCCTTCACTAGTATTCACGGTGAATCAGGCTTCCCGTGCTCTGATTGGCCAGGCACTGATTAGTCAGCTGCTCCGTGCGCGCACCATAGATATTCTCCCTTCTCCCGTAGCTCCAATACAACAAGTTCACGCACTTTTCTCCACCTTCATCACTTATCCATTCACGTGCTTCGTCATTGATAGCAGTAGTCACCTCCTTTTGCTGGTACAGGCGTTTGTAAAATATCCTTTTTGACCTGCCGCCGGCACCTATAGCAAACCCCTTTTCGTCCATGTTATAAGTGTTTTTTGCTTTCACCCGGTGCTCCTCTTATTTGCCGTGAAGGAGGTCGAAATACTCCTTAATCTTTGCCCCTGAATCGGCTTTATGGCGTTTGCGATTCATAGGCGTTTGCCATTTTAAGATGACTTTGTTGAAGTTTCTCCGGAGAAATCCGGATACCCACCTATCGCCCACCCCTTTTTGAGCAATTGAGGCTGCAAAATTCTTAACCATTTGCCTTGTAGGAGGCAGGCGACGCTTAGTAAGCCCCTGGATATACTCCACAAGGTACTTTTCTTGTAGTGGGTGAAGGAGTTGATGGGCAGCAGAGCGGGGTTGCGTAAGCCCCTTGTGCCTCCTGATCAACGTAGATGGCACAACACCGAACTTTTTTGCAATTTGGCGGTAGTTAAAAGGTTTCCCTGGCTTCAACGCGTCGATTGCGGCCATCGCATCCAAAATTGGAGTCATATTGGTGGAGTTATGGGTGGTTGCGGTGAAGGTCAACTTATGGTGGGGGTGTTGCATTACAGGTCGTGTTGCATTACGCGCACGGACACAGTATTCTCTCACGATACTCTTTGTTCGAGTTCTTTTTGCTGATAGTAGGCATGGGGCCGGTGGAAATCGGGCTTGAAGTGGACCTGAGGCGGACAGGCAGGGTGTTGAGGCAGGGCATTGAAGCGGGGTTTTGAGTAACGTTACAGCCGAGCGACAATCTGCCGTCTTGGTGCAGTCGATGCCTGAATCCATGCAATGCGCAAGGAGCACAACATAGCCTAGAATTCGACAGCACACGACTGTGTTTTCGTGCACTGAACTTAGAGCGCTCTTACAGGAAAAGAATAGCTGAGACAAAGTCTTTTGTCAGACTATCCACTATATATACCTTCATGCTACAACTGCAGGAAGGTCGGCCTTTTTGTAGTTCAACATCTTTTTGTTATACTGCAATGGTTGATAAATCCTGTCTTGTTCGCTCTACCCAGGTACAAAGTTGCGAAGATACCGAGTTGTTACACCTCTCACCCTGGCTTCGGACCTAAGTGGGCTGGTTGGTTACCAAGAGCATTGCACAGACTTGTCTGTCGGTGAGAGCTCTCCATGATCCCGCGACAAGACGTTAGTGCGAATGCTTGCCAGACACCAAGACGCTTCCTTTGGCCCCGGGCGCAAGTAGTTTGCATTGACCGGACCAAGCGGAACATAGTCAGCGGGAGTGTGAGGATACCATGGATGGAGACATGGTCAAAATGGGGTAAAATCTACGATTACCCCGCAGTTATCAACCTAATAGCCACTTGTTCTGGAGGGATTTGCATTGTCCGAAGTTGTATTTGTACAACATGCCCAATCGGTTATCTCGGCGTGCCCTAACCATGTAGACTACTAGTGATTCATCCATGTGGTTGTTCGGATAACGTCAATCAGATTCGTTCAGGAGTGGGATAATTGGTTGCTCTAAGGATCAGAAAGATCAGACGGCTAGTCCGGTATTTTTACATGTTGGATCGGTCCCTTGGCACGGATCCGGAGTCTGAAAGACCCGATCAGCCACGTGATCAGTCAGGTGATCATCCGATGTCCAACATCTAGTCCATTTCCGCGACAATCCATAACATGCCTAGGTAGCTTCATTCCCAAAAGCATAGTCAATAAGGAGCTCTTTATATTTCAAGGAATGCTAGAAACATGAAACCCCGGAAAACAGTCATTAAGTCACTGTTCGTTATCTAGCTAGACAGCACTTCACACACTTTACATGCTTATACCCCAGTTTTAGTTAGCGTGCCAATAAGGATATTTGCCAGACCAGCCCTTGGATTGCTTTGCCGTGCCAGCCCCTTCTGTATTACTTGAAATCTGCATGACTTCTAATATCAGAAGTGTTAGCTTGCCAACTAGCCGTGCGTTGATTTTCGTAAGATGATCTTTACTCGGTTCACGGCTTATTTGGGCTGACTTAGCCGCTTCCGCTTCTAACAAATCAACGTCTGAACAGTTGCTTGCGGAGTCTGCCCATAGGGTGGGCTGGTGTACCTTAGTGTCACGGCTTGGGGTCTCTCCTGCTCTGTTTCTGGAGTCGCAACTTCCCTTTGTAATGGCGCGATGCCTATTGCGGGCTAGTGCTGTTGACGGTCACCCACCTACATATACAGTTTGTAGACTCACACAATACAACCTCACCGAACACCAACTTTTCAATTTTATGGTACCCTTTAAAACAGTCCCAAAACCCGTCAGATTGATCGCAACACAGCTCCGATCCTACCTCCGCCATCCTCCAGCCGTGCAGAGCACTGCGAAGGACAATAATGGCGGACGTAGGGACCCCAGATCGTCCTTTGGCGCCTGGGAATCCGGCTGCAACACGACCAGATGAGCCCGCCTCACCCAATCACCAGAACCTTTTACGCTCCTCCAGATGGTCCCAGATGACTCCTCAGTCTGGCTTCTCTCTGAATACCGGTAGAGGAATGTGCAACCAGGCATCAGCCAGTTTAACAGGTGTGGTAACCCAGAAGATTGCACCAGCACTCCAGGCCCTCCAAACCAAGTACAACATGATCTCAGCACTCGCTAGCACTATCGACGCCTTTATGGGCCAATACACGAGCCCAGAAGAAGCTCCAATTGCCAAAGCCATCTGCAAACAAGTCACAGAGGCCCTGACCAGCACCCTTAGTCCCTCCCAGGGCACCACTCCCAGGACTACACCCAACGCAAGCAATTCTGAATCCCCCCACCAATCTTGGGCGGAGGTGGCCAAAGCCCCGAAAAACTCGGCCCCCCTGGCCAGGGGTGGGGCTAAGACCTATCCGGCAGCAATCGCCCAAAAGAATGCTCCACACAATAACAGACCAACTGATCAGCGCATCCTGATCACCACCCCAGCAGAGGCACGCCTCGCGCGACCCTCTGGATACGCAGTTCGGCAGGCCATCTGCCAGGCAGTCCCAAATATCACTTTGGCTGACGTGCTCAAGGCCACCGCAACAAAGACGGGCTGGGCAATCACCCCAGCCAGCCTCGAAATACAATCACGCCTCATGGAGGAGGAGAACCGCCAGCTTATGATCCAGGCAGTCGCTGGAGACAGCGCAAAACTCCCCACCGTCTAGACTAACTACGCGGTCCAGGGACTAGCTAGCGCCTTTACAGCTCTCGACGGAACACCTATTAATGTCACTACTGAGTTAATTAAGGAAGAAGTGCTCGCACAGACACAGAAAGAGCCGGTTAGCTGCCGGCCTTCTAGGCACGGTCCTGGAGCAAACATGCTGACTACCTGGATTATATCCTTCACCGAGAGGGTCCCCTCATTCCAGCTCTTTGACAGCAACTGGTCTAAGGAAATCAAGAAGGCCCCTATTATCGAACGACATAATCCTGGCTGCCAGGGCTTCTGTTACCCCACCAGATGTACCCGAGACCCTCGTTGCGGCACCTGCAGCATTCCTATAGCGAAACACACCGGCCCCCATGGGGACTTGTGCGAAGGCCGCCCTAGATGCGCCAATTGTCACGGGCCCCACTGGGCCTCATACTCCAACTGCGCTGCAGCTCCCTGGAGAACCGCTGGCCGGGTTGTCAGACCTACAAAGAAAGAGCTGAACGCAGCCCGCCGGGCAGGACACCTAGCCTACCTCCAGGAAAGCCTCCAAGCCAACGCTTCCGGAGGTAGCGTAGATGAAGCAGCACCAGACCTCCTCCGACCCACAACCGCAGATGAACCCACTGAGGTCCCAACACAAGCACCGGCCAAGAGAAACCGAACCCCAGCAACCTCTACCTCCGAGGCTGGGTCCACTCTAGGACCAGCCAAAAGGCCTACACGCAAAACCCACAAAACTACTAACCTCAACCTGCGCCAACTCTCACAGCAGAGCGTTACCCGTAAACCAGACCACACTAGTTCGTCGTCAGAAGCGACAGACGTTGAAATGAGCGAGTCCTCTTCTGCATGGTAGGACAACACCCACACAACGCCGGCGGTAACCAGCCGCACACACCAGCCCAAGGTATATTGATTGCCTGGGCCAACGTTGGTAGGAGATCACCTAGCCACATCGCAATCTTGCAACTTGCATGGGAAACAAAAGTAGACGTTGTATGCGTCCAAGAACCTTTCACCTGCTTAGACTCTAAAACCTCAACACACCCTGGGTATAACTTGCACGCCCCAGTGACTAACTGGGGCCATAATGACCCTAAAACTAGAAGAGCACTCCGCCCTCGGGTTATGACCTATGTCCGTAAAGACTATAGACTTGAGTCTGAAGTCATCTTCCCAAAAATTAACCGAGACCTGCTCTGGGTTAAGGTGAACGGCTACTCAATTCTTAACGCTTACCGCCAACCTGCCAGCACTGGAGTCTTACAATACATCACTAACTGCACTCCCCCACCCTTATCTATTGTAGGGGGGGACTTCAACGCCCGCCACCCAGCCTTTGAGCCTGGCACAGACGCCCGCAACGGGGGCATTGAACTGAATCAGTGGTCAATTAACAACAACATGAGCTTCATTGGAGAGCCGGGCGAAGCCACACACCAGGCTGGGCATGTCATAGACCTTACCTTCTCGAATATCCCCTTTGCCACAACTGAAGTAGCAGAGGACCTACACTGTGGCTCTGACCACTTTACCTTACTCACCACAATCCCCGCTAGAGGGCGCCAACCTCTAGACCAATTCCACTACAGGGTGCCAACAAGACGCCTGCACCAGTTTAACGCTCTAGTTGAACTTCACCTCCAAGCACACCCAATCAGCCCTATCAACACGAAAGCAGACATTGAGTCATCTATTGCCAGCTTAGAAAGAACCCTATGGGCCGCGCTCAAGGGCGCTGGCACACCAGACAGGGCAAAAGGTCACTCAGCACCATGGTGGACAGAAGATTGCGTAGAAGCCCACAGCCGGCACCGGGCTGCCAGGAACTTAGCAGAACCAGGGACGGTCCCAATCGAAATCAGGGAGTTCCTTGCCGTCGTGCGGAAAGCGAAGAAGGAGTACTGGGCGAACCGGATTAACAATATCACTACAGATGAGGAGTTATATAGCCTGCTAGGTTGGCATAAACTTACCCCAGGACAGCAGGACATCCCACTTATCGTGAACAACCAAACCATCTCAGACCCACTAGAAAAAGCCGAAGCCCTGCGGGTGGAAATCCTGGACCGGTTCAGCGCTGAGGACGACCTGCCGGAGCCAGTATGGCCTACCGAAACACCGGCGGGTACACTGCCATGGGACACCCACATCCCTATGGAAGAAGTCGAGAGAAGCACTATTGGGGTGTCCAGCACCTCGCCAGGCACCGATCGAATCACCGTCCGGCTTCTCAAGACCTGCTGGGCTCAGGTCAGGACCCACATCCGCTCTATCTTTCAGAAGTGCCTTGAGCTCTGCTACTTCCCCACAGCCTGGAAAACGGCCGAAGTCGCCATGATACCAAAGGTCGGCA